AAGGAAGGAAGGAAGGAAGGAAGGAAGGAAGGAAGGAAGGAAGGAAGGAAGGGAGGAAAGAAGGAGAGCAAGCAAGCAAGCTTATGAAAGTAGCTTTAGGAGTGACAAACAGGAAAGTTGAAAGTAAACAGCAAAAGTGAATGTAGCAACTTCATAAAATGTGAATGGATGGATATTCCTGTTAGTAATTATTTTGTAAATTATGTGACTTTAAATATGTCTGTGTAGCTAAGAATGTATTACCCAATTATATAAAGAGATATTTGACTACTACATCTCTATTACTAAATGCTTTCACAATCAGGTTGGTCAAAACTCTTTTTGGGAGAGAGATGTGAGGATCTTCTCACTGGAAAGTGAAAGACTATCATCTATGGGTTTGTCTTTGTTTGGGGAATGTTCTAGAGTGACAGATATGATGACTCTGCATATGATCAGGGATGGTAGGTGATAAGAGGCAAGGAGAAGAAATGATTGAAATTCACATCCTCTTTTGTTTCCTTGCCAGGTGCTGTGCTTGTGTTACTGGTTGAGCTTGGATGCATATTTCCACCTGAGCAGAAGGGCTCCCTATCACCTTTCTTGGGTTGTTGCAAGGAGAGTCAAAAAAAGCACTGAGATAGTTTGCACTTGAGTGACCCCCAAAAAGCTTGATCCCTCACCTCCTGGGAGGTGATGAAACCTTGTAAAAGTTCTTAATTGATTTAGGGTATAGGGTATGATCTCAAAGGGGTCTGTGAGATTTCTGTCTCTGTCTCTCTCTGTCTGTCTCTCTCTGTCTGTCTCTCTGTCTCTGTCTGTCTGTCTCTCTCTCTCCTTCTCTCTTCCTCCCTCTCTTCCTTCTCTCTCCTTCCTTGCTCTCTCTCTCCACCATGAGCTAAGTAACTTGCTCCATCATGAGGTTCCTTCCATGATATTGCCCCACTTTAGACTTTAAAGAAATGGGGCTCTCCATTCCTGTGTTAAAATTTCTGGGCCAGTGGGATAGCTCAGCAGTCTAAAGCATCTGCTTAGGCAAGCACTCAGGGACTGTGGTTCGATCTCCCATACCACATGCCACGCCAACTCCGCTGCCAGGGCAGGCTGCGCAGGCCACATACGCAAAAATAAATAAATAAATTTTCTGAAATTTTGAGCCAAAATTTTTCCTCCCTTACTTATAATAATGGAAAACAGACTAGCACAAGCCTTCAGGTACTTGTCACCTAAAACTCAGCCAGCAATATACTGACATCCAGGACTCACAGGGCAGCCAGCTGTAACACCAAACACATACCGACATCTTGCTGGGTAATTTATAAAGTGTTTTCCCTGTAAGGATCACAACACTTCATTTTCTTCATTTTAGAGATGAGTAAACTAAGTAACAGAGTGACTTACCCAAGTCTCAGTATAAATGTCCCACAGTGTCCAAGGGCGGGGCTAATATTTCAACCCGGGCAGTCTTACCCCAGAGCTTGCCCTTTCAAGCATGATGCCGCAGCATTTAATCTCTTTAAATAATCAGCTCTGTGAGAGAGCACAGGCCTTTCCAGGGATCCTTTCTATTGCCCAAAGCATCTCTATCCCAATGTCAAAGGATGGGAGAAAGCAGATTAATGACCTACAACAAGCTTGGATTCTGACTTCACCGATCTTACAGAACAACTTCATTAAAATGCACTTGATAATGGAACAGCATCATTTTAATCACCATTTTTGTACATACATTTAGGTATCTGATGCCAGCTGTTACTCCTACGTGGCTGGAATTCTGCCTTTGCTGGGAAAACTGGCTCATCTTTCTCGAGTCTCCCCCTCCCCCTTGTCCTTGGTGCTCACTTCTCCTCCTCCTCCTCCTCCTCCTCCTTCATTGCTCCTCTCTCTTCTTAGGTGTTGAGCTTTCTTTCCCTTGTGCATCTCAAGTAATCTCATCTGTGGTCAAGGCTTTTATGTTCCATCTGTGGGGTCTCAAATTTACATCTCACATTTCTCTTTTGAATTTCAAAAAATCAAAGTTCTAGCTCTTCCCTGGGACTTGAAGATAACTCCAATTGCATCTCCAGTTCAAAAGATCCCCATGGGAACTCCCTCCCTCCTCTCCACTTGCTGCCCAGCCTTGTTCTCCAATCTGATCTTTCAGTCTTTATTTCCTTCAGTGGCTTCACTATCTAACCAATCACTTGAAGTCCTGGCTCCATCTTGGATTGTTTCTTATCTCAGACTATTTCTCCTTACTGGAATCCCTAACACCCACCCAGTGGATCATCAAGTTATTTAGATCTTTACCTTGGAAGTATTTAGTGTTTGTGTACTCTATTTCTGTTTCTGTCTTGTTTTTCCCATGATGGAAGATCCAACCCAAGGCCTCATGCATGAGAGGGAAACACTAGCACCAAGCTGTGCCCCCAGCTTGTCATCGGTTTCTTCTTTGCTGTTTCCACTATGGTGATGAAAACCTTCATCCTCCCTCCCTTAGATCACTGCTGGGAACATTCATTGGCTCTTCCAGCTCCTCTGGGCCTGGGAATGAACTTTCTAGAACCTTAGCCCAATCATGTCTCTCCATCCCTGCTTACAAAATCTCCTCAGCTCTTCTCTGCTTCCAAGGCACATTCTAATTGTACACACTGACACATATGACCCCTGACAACCAAATGCCCTGCTGTATTTGTAGTTGTATCTGCTTCTCATCCCATCTCTAGCCGTACCTCCCCCTAGAACTATGATCCAAAAAACTGGAGCTACTTGCGCCACATCCTTTCACGTCGAGCTCTGAGCTCCTGAAGAGGAATCTCTCGTGTTGCAGATTCTGGGCATCTGGGCTCATGATACCTCTGCCGCTGCACTGCTGGCTCTGGACTTCTTAAAGAAATGTGGTTGCAAATGTCTTAAGGCAGTTCATGATAATCCTTCACCTTTTCAACAACTTTACAAGACTACACAGTGCTATTGCCACAGTGCAACAGGTGAAGAAGCAGACCCCAAGCAGTCAAGGAGCTTTATAGATTCCTAAAACGAACTAGTAAGTTAAGTGAATCAACCAAAAATTTTAGCCAAGACATGCTGACTGTAAAACCTGTGCCTTAGCAGAAACCAATCCTTGCTAATTACTTCTATGACTATAATTTCATTGCAGGGGATTAACCAGGAAGCAAGACCTCTGCTTCAATCTCTCGTATGTGCGGCCACAGTCCCCTAGATGCCGGTCACTTTGGAAAAGGGCAGGTACCACACCTAGACCTCCCGCACATCCCAGCATCCCAAGAATGGAAAAGCGCTGTATGTGTGCTCCACCTAGCACCAAACTTCTCCTATTCTCAATGAGCATCTGAGTGAAGCTTTTTAGGGAGGAAATACGATATCCTCAGCAGTCTATCTCCAAGGAAAGGGCAAGACTGAAAGAATCCCAGACACTGGCTGATGTGTCCACATGCACACCTTTGAAAAAGATCAGTCGGCACTCTGTGCTCTTGAGTCTGATTTTATGAAATAACTGATGCTATACTACATACTTATTTTTGGTTCCTAAAGCTAACATACATATGTATTCCCAACCATGGCCAAAGGGACAATTATTTCAGCAGTCACCTATCATGTCAAAAATACGTACCTTGTTCCCTTATTAGTTTTATAGTCTGAATTAAAAAGTCCAGCTACAAGCCCCTGGATCAAAGGCCAGCTCTGTCTCTGCCAAGAGCTGCCTGCGTGACCTCGAGCAGATCTACTTCTGACTGCTCACTTTTTACATCTAGGGATTCCAGTTAGCTGATCCAGAGCAGTCTCTTTTCATTCTAATATTCACAGGCTATTCTTATTTTTAGGATGTTTTCCCCAAAGTTACTTTTATTCTAAATGTAAGGGAAAACTACCCTACATGGCCACTTCCATACATTTCAGTTTTTTAATGCATATAATTAAACTGTACATATTTTGATATGCCCAGTGAAGCGGTTATTACAATCAAGAAGACTGGGCCAGGGAGATATAGCTCAGTAGAATAAGCACCTGCCTGACAAGCACAAGGTCCTGAGTTCAATCCCTGGTACCACACACACACACACACACACACACACACACACACAAAATTAATAATAATAATCAAGAAGATTAATATGCTCATCATTTCACATAGTTATCCCTTTTTTGTTTTCAGAAGCCATATATGATTTCTGAAATGTAGTAAGTGATGATGGGGTACAAGTGAATTCCAATAGTATTTTATAATAAAAAAACTACAATCGATACACTGCAAAAATTGCTGGTAGCTTGGAGCTCACGGAATGCCTCAAATGCACGAAGCAATGTAAACCTAATTATACAGGAAAACAAGGTAGATGGCAGTTAGGAGTCAGGGAAAACCCCCTTATGCGTTGTCTTAGCTGACACATACATACAGCAAACAGTTGCTAGGTTCTCAGACAGTTGTGTTTACACCAAAGTAATTTCTCAGCACATGACAGCCACTGGGTGTCTGAGATAAGATCAAAAGATATATGACATAGGTGCCCTGTAAATGCCTCTTGGGTGACTAGGACATGAAAACGCTATGAAAAGCACATTATGCAAAAGTTAAGAGAAGTGCTCAGGCTCTAAAGGCTCATTTTGCATCACAAAAATGAAACACGAAGGAGTGCAGAAGAATTATCAAAGAAGTTCCTTTGCGATCTTTGTGATGTTTCCAGTCATGATCAAAATCCTATTAAGAAAAACACACACTTTGAAAACAGTTTATCTACCAGCATATTGCTGCCTAAACAGGTGCCCCTTGGGGGTTGGGGGAGAGGTTATCCAGAAGGAACATAAAAAACAAAAGCAAACAAAATAAAACAAACACCCTTCCTTTGCACTGCCTGTTGGCTTCACATTTTTTAAACGGGGCACCTCTGCCTAACATTGGCGTCATTCTAGCCCATCTGGGAGGCCCGGATGAGGAGGAGAAGGGCTGTGCAAAGAGGTTCTTGACCAGCCGCCCGGTGTGCAGAGCCGGCCAGGTCGCGCCCGCTGCGGGGCCCACTCACCTTCCCTCCTGGCGCTGGCGGCGGCCGCGGGCAGGAGCAGCGCGGCGCAGAGGCAGCTCAGCCAGAGCGCGGGCATGGCCGGCGCCGTGCGGGTCGCGGCCGGCGCTGGGCGGCGGGGAGTGCTCCTCTGCGCCCGGCTCTGCCGTCCTTCTCCGTGATCAGGTGGTTTTATCGACTCCTCTACCTGACTCAGTCCTGACAGGAAGAGAGCCTGTGTTTCAGGGCGTGACTCACCTGTGAACAAGGAGGACCCAGCCCTCCGAGGCAGACAAACACACAGAGCACCGAGCTGCGAAGGCGCGCACCCGGCTGGCTGCCCCTGCGCCCCGCACAGAGGGCGCGCACCTGGCCCGGCCAAGGGTGTGGCCCAGGGGTCCTTCTCCTGGAATGTGCCAGAGCCGTCCTTCTCTCCCGGGCTGGTTAGGGCAGAAATCAATCGTGAGGTGGATAGCAACCTCCCCTTTCCTCAAAGCAGGAGGCCCAGCCTCAGGGTGCCCAGGCTAAAGCGCCCTCCTGGGCTCTGGTCTAAAAGACATCAGGAGGGACTGGTCTGTCCTGGAGTCCAACAGCATCCTCTCCACTTCCCAGCTGGGGTCTTCCAACCTCTGGAACACAGGAGCCCTGCCCCAGCTTTCCACGGCCAGGCTGCACCGAGCGTACCTCTCCTGGGTTGCCCTATGTTATCTGGTCAGACCAGCCTCCCTCTGAAGACTAGATCCCTGTGCACCCTAACACTGAGTACAGCATCTAGCGCTTTCAATGCTCAGGACATGTTCTGTTCCATTGCATAACAAAGAAGATCCAGATTCTGTATCCCATTAGCGTTCTAGAGCATATTTTTTCCCACTGAAAGATGTTCCTTGAGACTTAGTAGTGTCTCCGAAGTCTCCTAGACTAAGTGAAGTGAGTAATACCTAGAAAACTGCAAGTCTTGGAAGCTTCTACTCTGTCTCTTCTCCCAAGGAGGCTGATGGCAATAATCCAGAGAGGTACCTCTCGAAGAGAGTACTTCGGAACCTACTATGGCAGCCCAGGCCTTCAATCCCGCAGTCTGTGAGGCTGAGGCAGGATCACAAATTCAAGCTCCCCTTGGGAAACTTAGTGACTGAAAGCAAAAGCCTGCCTCAAAATAAAACGGGCTGGGGATATAGCTCAGTGTGAAGGCCCAAATTTAATCTCCGGCACTGCAAGGAAAAAAAAAGAGGATGAGTAGAGTCCTACTAGAGGCATAAGAATTACTAGAATTTACATATACCCAATCTGTCCAAAGCAATCATTCCTCTTTCCCAGCAACAAGGCCTGTACATCTTCCAGTGAGCACCTCTTCACTGACTCAATGATAACTGTTATATGGATAACAGCTAACAAATAGGATGCTACATGTGGGCTGAATGGATCACTTTGTATAGAACATGGAACTAGATGTTCGGTCAGAACCAGGTTCTGAATACAGCACCAGAGAATGGTAGAGGCAGGCGGGTCCTGCTAACCTGCCCTAACCTGCTCTAAAATCAGCAGCACAAAAATTAGTAGAAAAATTCCAATTTTTTCATCCTAGTCCTGATCATATTTTACTCAATCCAGTATTTAAACAAATAATATAAAGATTCTTTTCTCTCAAAACTCAGTGCCCAGTTATTACTAAATTTTAGTTTCCTGAGATAAAATACACCTAGACTTTTCCTTCCCCGTAGCTGGTGCAGGATGCAGACAGAGTGTCATGCTCCGTATGTCTACCCATCCCTGGTGTGCAATGCCTGATGGTCCTGCAGAAGCAAGGCACAGAGCCTTGCAAAATAAAGCCTTGAAGATGCATTTTTGTTTAGCACAGATTGCTATAGTTGATCATATCATGAAACTTAGAACAGAAATTTTTATCTACATCATTTTGGGACAGTGATAATGATTAGACATAGCTACTTCCTATTGGCTGTCAGTTGCTGTTGAAATCCTGTAGGATATCAATTTTTAATCTTCAAAACACCCTACCAATCAGGTTACTGTTGGTTTCCCCACCTCATGGAGAAGAAAACACAGACAAGGAAAGGTCAAGCAACATGCCGAAGGGGGTAAAGCCAGACTCAAACTCAGCCACCCTGGCGTCACAGTTCTAAAACCCTTTTGTTAGTCAATTGAAAGGCATTGTAGACAAACTCATGACAGGGAACGAATTGAGCATGCAATCAAAGGTTATTCATCAACCGCCATTGCAGCCTGGCAGACTGAAGATGGCTGGCATACATTCACAAAGCCCGGTCACAGCACGCTCTGACTGACACTACAGATTTCCCCAAGGTGTTAGCTCTGCAGGACCTCTTGAGGTCACCTGGACCAGGGGCAGAAGTGGGAAGCAGGCCGAGGGGGTCTATGCCAGCCAGCAGTTTCTTGTATTCCAACGGTACAGAACTTCACACCTTTCCGTAAAAGGTAAATAAGTTTAGGTCTCTAGACAAGCACTGCCAGTTTTTCTCAGTTCCTACCTCTTCGTCTTCTTCTGAGCTTCTTCACACATCTAAACAGCCTGCCTGCTCTGATTTTGTCCTCAACTTTGTTCAGGGACAATGTCTACCTCCTCCGCCAACGAGTGCATTGCTGGGACCAAGAGTACTCTTGTGATCAAACGTCAGGGCTCTACAAATATTCCTACCATCAAATTCTGGCTTCCGTGCTACCAAGGCACTTGGTTTTCTCTGTGTCTCAGTTTCTTAATCTATAAAATGGAGATAATAATAAAACGCTGACCTACCAGTAGCAGGTTTTTTTTTAAATTAGATAAATAAATGACTTCTCTAGTCTTCAGAACATCAGGTATATCCATGTACTATATAAGTGTGGCTATAATAATAATTTCTACTATTGTTAAGTATTAATTGTGGGCCTGGCCGGGGAGACGGCATAAGCACCTGCCTGGCATGCACAATGTCCCAAGTTTGATCCCTGGTACTGAAAAAAAAAAAGAATATTAATGGTATTTATATTATTGTTGTATTTATTATCACTAAGTAACAGTTTTTCCTTGCTATAATTATTAGCATATAAGAAAGATGAGAATTTTACTTCAGTTCTACTGATTATTTAATTGTGATTTTTAGATTTTGGGGAATTCAGCCTGATCCAGGTTTGTGCCACATTACCAACACTTACTTGGAAGTTGCTAATTAACTGTGATTTTGCTATAAAATGGGAAACTTCTTTCACACACAGATCTTTTTGTCAAATGTTTTAAATTTTTTGCATTATTTGACAAGACAAGTTAGGGTCTTATTTTTCAGGTAAAATGTAAGCATAAGATGGCTTTAAAATAATTCCTATGATCATCACATGATTTTCAAAAAATCAGCCCAAATCTGTTGCTTTTGTAGATGACATCAATACATCTTTTTGAAAATCTAGATAAAAGTTAACTTGATACTGCACAATGAAAAGGGCCAAGCTAAGGGTAAGACCAAACGACTCTTAGGGCACTATGCTAAGTGGAAGAAGTCAGACCCAGGACATCACCTTCTATGTAATCCCATCTGCATGAAATTCTGCCCAAGGAATTTCAAAGCAAGCAAGGGAGGAAAATGAAAGCGAGAAAGCCAATCAGTGGTTGTCAAGGGTAGGAACTTACTGCAATGGGGAATGGAATTGGTTTTGATTGAAAGAAATATTCTGAAATATGATTGTGGTCAAAAGTAAGCCAATTGGATACTTAAGATTTTAAAATTTAATTGTGCATAAAGTTACACCGTAGTAAGTTGGTATTACAAAAGAGAAGCTTCAAGTATCTATTTGACAATTAAAATGAGATCTCAGATGTGCTAAGACAAAGCCACCGCACGCCAACACGTCAGTGTTCGCGTAAGTTGTCGCAAAGCCATAGCTAGGAGTCTGGCCCTAACAGCTGTTCTCATTAGCTGGAAGCTTCCATTTAAAGTGTTTCTGCAGAAATACACTTGATCCTTTTCTAGAAACTTGTCTATATTGTCAATTTAGAGAAGGTAAAGGACACCTTTCTGAAATGTTTGCTAAGAAGTACAATTTCAAACCCATCTTAAATTCTGGTTGTAGGAATCAGCCCTTGGGCTTGTGTCTCATCCTCCTTAGAAAAGCCACATTCTTCCAGGGTGTAAGACCCGGGATGGGTGGGGTTAATGCCTACAGAGGTGCTCCAGCCACAGCTCGGGTACCCGGATGTTCTCACAGGGCGCTGCAGGCAAGGCTGAGGCCCTGGAAGTTCCCTTTGTCCACTGTTGTGTTTACAGTTCAGTCATCACGCAAGGGACTTTTCTTTTTACAGTGTTGAATAAATCAGTTCACAGAACTGTCGTCTCTCCCCTGCAAAGCCCCAAATAGCATTACAAGTGACATGTTGATTTTTGCCTTGAGTTCCATCATTACCTTAGTCAACTTTCAGAAGGAATGTCTGGCATGTCACCCACTTTCAAACTCGCTTATGATAAAAACTGAAGCACTAGCTACTAATGTGCCAGCAAGAGGCAGAGCTGTTGGTCCTTGCCCTTTAAAACATCTTTCCCAGAGTTCCCTTCCTGTCAGCATTTGCATTAAAATTTTAAATGTAAAATTCAGCACTCAGGGGAATAAAAAAGAAAGGTTTTAATTTCCCTTTGTTCTTAATAGGCAAAGGAAAATGTCCATAAATGGAAATGGATCAGTGTTTCCTGGATCAACCACATAAATTCTCCAGGGTTGGCCAGGCTCCAGAAAACCATGCTCTCTGAAGCAAAGCTGATGTGGCAAGCTTCCATTTCATGCATAAACATATAGAGTGTGCCCACTGTGAGCGTTCAGAGCGCTCTAGGAGCCTCGCCAGAGCTAAAGTAATTAATGCCTTTTATTCATTAGGAGGACCTGATCCTCTTCCTGTGGTTGGCCAGTGACACATCCGGTAGGGCTGTGGTACGGAATCAGTGCCCAAAAAATAGTCTCATTTATGTCTTGTTTGATGAGGCCGCTGCAGACAGAAATGAGCAAATCCATTGTTTGTTTTACAATATAACAAATGAGGAGGAACAAGAAAAGGGGCACACTTTTAGAAAAAGATGAAACAGGCAAAGAAAACACAACAAAACAAAAGGGCAGAAATACTCTTAGACAAGTTGAACAGATCTCTGGGAGTTTTGGTTTGTTGTGTCCCCTTAGACTAAAATGTAGTCATCAGCTCATTTGTGAAGCGCTGGCTATTAGGTAAAATACTACCTACCATGGTTTCCAACTGCCCTTACACCTTGACCAATGCAGCTCTTCAGGCTTGCATGAGAGGGAGAGACAAAGGAGCCTGGTGCCCTAAGCACTCTTCTCTTGCTGCGCTGGTGGCGACCAGCTTGAGCCCCACCCCACCCCCACCGACTTGACGAGTTAAACTGGAAGCAGAGGTGGCCACCCTAAGATCAGAGATCCCACCTTTGCCTTCGGAAGGAAGAAATGAGAGCAGGA